GAGTTCAAGGTCTGCGTCAGGCTCCATGCTGACAATGCAGAGCCTGCATTAGATTCTCTCTCTCCCTCTTTCCTGCTGACGCATGTGTGCACACTCTCTGTCTCTCTCAAACTAAACGTTAAAAAGTTAAAAAATAAACATTTTTTAAAAAGAAAAGATCATTCTATGACTCAGACCAAGATGTTTTAAAATCCGCTTTTTAACATGCCTCTTCAGAAACTAAGAGGACACCAGAAAGGAAAATTGGCAAGGGACAGGAACAGAAAATTCAAAGAAAAAGTAATCGAAATAGTTCTCAAGCTTCACTCATAGGAGAAATACAAATTAAAACCATCCATATAAAAAATTAACCAAGATCAACAACCTACTTTTTTTAAAATTTTTTTTAATGTTTTATTTATGTCTAGGAGAGAGAGAGAGAGAGAGACAGTGTGAGCAGGGGAGGGTCAGAGAGAGAGGGAGTCACAGACTCTGAATCAGGCTCCAGGCTCTGAGCTGGCAGTCAGCACAGAGCCCGACACGGGGCTCGAACCCACGAACCGCGAGATCACGACCTAAGCGAAAGTCGGACACTTAACCGACTAAGCCACCCAGGCGCCCCGACCAACAACCTACTTAAAAGGCTAAAATTATAAAACTTATGATGGGGTTACATCCTGATAAACCCATTGTATGTAAGTTGAAACTATTATTAGATCAACAATGTACTTAATACATCCAAACCACCAAATATCACAGCCTACCTTAAATGTTCTCAAAGCACTTCATTAGCCTCCAGTTGGGCAAAATCATCTAATACAAAACCTATTTTATAATATAGTTAATATAATTTTATTGAATTGTATCTAATACAGCTGGGCAAATATACAGCCTACAGTTGGGCAAAATCATCTAACACAAAGCCTATTTTATAATATAATTTCACATGTAATTTATTGAATACTATACAGAAAGTGAAAAGCAGAATGAGTGTAGAGGTAAAGAATGGTTTTAAGTCTACTGGTTGTTTACCCTTATTGTGGGGCTGACTGGGAGCGTGTGGATCACTGCTTCTGCCCAGGATCAGGAGAGAGTATCCTATCATGAATCTCCAAGGTGAGAAAAAAGTCAAAATTAAGAACCCGAAGTACAGTTTCTATTAAATACATATTATTTTTATACCATCATAAAGTTAAAAAAATCACAAGTTGAACCATAATAAGTTGGGGACTGTATTTGAAAAAGACTATAGGGGTAAATCTTCATGCCCTTTTATTTAGCAATGGATTCTTAGATTTGACGTTACAAGCATGAGCAAAAATTAATAGATAAAATGAACTAAATTAAAATTTAAAACTTTTAAGTATGAAAGGACATCTTTAAGAAAGTGAAAAGACAAGCTACAGAATGGGAAGGAAATCATTCCAAGTTAACTATCTGAAAAGAGTTTAGTATTCAGAATATATACAGAACTCTTACAATGCACAACAAAAGAAAAACCATCTAAGTTAGAAATGAACACAGGGCTTGAATACGCATTTCTTTAAAGAAGACATACAATGGCCAAAAAGCACATGAAGAAGATGTTGAAGATCACTGATAATTAAGGAAACACAAATCATGATGAGATACCAATGAGACACCAGTTCACAACCACTAGGACAGTTAAAATAAAAAAACTGGAAAATAGCAAGAGTTGGCAAGGATATAGAGAAAAGAGAATCCTAGTACAGTGTTGGTGGGAATATAAAATAGTGCAGCCACTAAGGAAAAGAGTTTGGAGAGGATGTGAAGAAATAAGAATTCTTATACATTTTTTTGGAGGAATACAAAATGCTGCAGCTGTTATGGAAATATCTGATGGTTCTCTAAAAAGGAAAAGCAGAATTACCATATGACCCGGCAACCCCCCAAGTACTCAAACAGAATTTGTTCATAAATCTTTACAGGAGCAATATTCACAATATCCAAAAGGTATAAATAATCCAAATGTCCACTAACAGATGAATAAATTAAAAAACTGTGATCTACACTACAGTTATTCAGCCATAAAAAGGAATGAATTACAGATACATGAACTACCCTGATAAACCTTGAAGGCATTATGGCTAAGAGAAAGATATCAGACACAAAAGGTCATATACTGAACAACTACTTTTATATAAAATGACCAAAATAGGAAAATGTACAGGAACAGAAAGCAGATTAGTATTTGCCAAATGTTAAAGGAGGGAGGAGAGATGAATGGGGAATGATCACTTAATGAATATGAGGTATTCTCCTGCAGTGATGAGAAAGTTACAATACTAGAGAGAAGTGGTTCAACACTGTGAATGTGCTAAAAGTTACTGAACTATACAATTTAAAATGGTTAATTATGGTACCTCTGGGTGACTCAATTGGTTCAACGTCTGACTCTCAGTTTTGCCTACATCATGATCCCACAGTTCATGAGTTCTACCCCTGTGACAGGCTCTGCGCTGACTGCAGAGCCTGCTTGGGATTCTCTATCTCTCCTTCTTTTTCTGCCTCTACCTGTTTCTCTCTCTCAAAATAAGTAAATAAACTTAAAAGAAAAAATTAATGGTTAATTGTAAAGATAAAAATAAATAACTAAATAGATAAAATGGTTGACTATATGTGGAGTGAATTTCAACTCAATTTTTAAAAAGTCAACTGGTACATCATTCTTCAATCATTTATAAGACCAACTACAAAATTTGATAAGAACATTTCGTTGAAAAGACTGAAAAGAAACATTTTCATGTATTACTAATAGGAGTAAAAATGGGTACAATTCCTAGAGCAGGAAGTTCAGCAATATCTAATATAATTTACAAATACATTTTCTGACAGACATTCCTCCACAAAGAACAAACAAGGTATACACAAAATTACTCACTACAGTATTGTCTGTAATAGCAGAAGACTACAAATCATAAAAGGGCATGTTAACAGACTGGTTAAACTAAATTATCATACATACACACAAAGAAGCCCTAAGATCCTATATTGAAAAAGCTCCCTATATACCATTATCCTTTGTGTAAGAGTAGTGGCGAAGAAAAATATATTCTTACATATGCATATGGAAATTAGATAAATAATGCAGATAGATAGATGATATACAACAAAATAGTTAAAAGCAGTTAACTCTGGAGTAGATGAAAAGGCAGGAAGTGGTAAAGACTTTTTGCTTCATATCTTTTAAAGCTTTCTGGTTTTCTGAATGTTGGGAATGAACTACAAAAGGAAAAAATTCAGAGACTACCAATTGTTTTAAAATCAAAACCCAAACCAGGGCACCTGGGTAGTTCAATCAGTTAGTTGACTATTGATTTCAGCTTAGGTCATGATCATGCAGCGGTGGGATGGAGCCCCACATCTGGGATTCTCTCTCTTCCTCTCTCTCTGCTCCTCCCCCATTAGCTTTCTCACTCTCTCAAAATAAATAAATAAACTTTTAAATCAAAACACAATCCAACAGAACACTTATATAGATTAGATAATTCACGTAAAGTAGGTCACTCATGCTTTGTCTTACCAATCTTAAAACTGCAAAATTAACAAAGTCTTTTTCCTCCAAAAAGCATAATCTCCTGCCACTCTTCATCAATCTCAATGCTCTAAGATTCAGGTTCAAACTCTGTGTCCAAGAGTGTAGCCTGCTTTCTTATCTTGAGGCATTTATACGTAATCTGTTACCTTTGGCCTTTCTGGTCTCTCCTACTTTTCTTTTACTCAGTCTTAGTCTCACCACAGTTTTTCCTCTAAGATGCACTTTCTTACAAATACTCCCACATTCACACATACACAGAGATACAAAGCCTACACTAGATCAGAAGCCCTTCCTTGTTATCCCCATAGTATCCTGTCCTTAGAGATACAGACTCCAGATTGAGACAAGCCTGACTCTGAATCTTGAGTTTGTCACTTAAACTATACGTCCAAACACTTCTAAGCCCTTTATTCTGTTTCCTGATCTATAAAAATCATATTTGCCTGACAGAACTGTTAACCAGTATATTAAATGAGCTAATATATATAAAGCACAGAGCTTGACACATATTAAATTGTCATTAAACTGTCAATAAATGGTGGCATTAAAAGCCACCATTAAGTGGCACTGAGCACTTCACTGAACTACTGGTATAATTTCCCTCTTTGCTCCTTGTAATAAAGCCTCTTTTGAAAATTATACATACTCTAATACTGACTGCGGCAGAGACAGTCTTCATAACATTTGTATACTCTGGAACAGTGCTTAGTCCAAGATAGAGGTGTTCTGTAAATATTTTATAAAAACTACTTGTGTCAATACTGTGAGTGACAAACAAAAATTAAAAAGTTTTCAAGATACCAAATGAATCAATGATCTCAATAAAAGATCACTGTACTTTCTGCACTGGAAAGAGAAGAATGCTGATCTCCCTTAAACCCCTCACCCCCATGTAACACAGAATAATCTATTAGGATTTATTATTCCTGAGAAGAAAAATGTCTATCAGTTATCTATTAATATGATAAAAATAAACTTACATTTTATTTTTAAAAAAACTATCTATAGATATCCAACAGATGATAAACCTAAGAAACCAGATTCTGGTACTTATGTTACCTTAAGCAAATTATTTAAGGTTTAAGCACTTCATCTATGCAATGAGGACCTTATACATACTGAAGAAGAAATAAAATAATGAATATTAGGAACTATCAAAATTCCTAATCTGAAGCATAACTAGAAATACTGTCAGTAAATATTATAAAAACTTATGATCTAAAACGTTGATTCATATATTCCTTAAATGAGTTTTAGATTTCCTTCAAAATTTCATAAAATTTTATAAACTTGTTCTTTCATAGCAAAACTGAACCAAAACAAAATGAAACAGCCTTAAATATAATTTTCTTTATCAGAAAGAGATCAGCACATCATTCTAGAATGGATTATATATAACTAAAGAAAGGTGAAGTAGTTTGACACTGCTGGACTACTAGATTCAATGTACATTATTTATTCTAACATTATGTACCTCGACATCCTGAACACTGGATAAAAAAGTTGATTAAATCCAGAAGCGCGATGTCCCTGTCTTGTTTATATGATTCAATCCAGTCATCCACCACGGACTGTAGAAAAAAAATATATAAAATGAAAATTTTTTAAAATTGCTATTACAGAAAATAAACTTTTTAAGGTCTGTGATTTTATGTGTGTGTCTACTTCAAATACCTGAAATCATGTCTCTGTAGCCAAATAAAAGTAAAGATTTCTTTATTTTCAAGGTAATTAAAAGATTAGTTACTAGTTTCAAAAGCTTGTTTAACCTAGACCACAACACAAATCTGACTAGTCTAATAATTATTAAGCAACTATAGATACCAATATTCAAACCAGATTGTGGAAATAATACAAAAGCTAAACTAATTACACTTACACATGGAAACTGTCCATGTATCCAAAAAAAAACCTATTCCATTAGTAGTGCATAAAAAGAATACACACCATATATAACCAAATGCATTTTTTCAGGAATGAAAAAATGAGTTAATAACGGGAAACCAAATAATTCAATTTATAAATGAAATGAAGAAAAATTAAATGAAATTACTAGATCTCAAAATGGTATCTGACAAAATTGTGCAGCCAAGCTTAATAAACAACTTCTAGAAAAAGTAAAGTTAGATGAAATATATATAAACAAGATAAAGACAAAGACTATAATAGATCTGTTGTTGAAATGCTCAAGACATTTCAACTTAAAAATGAACAAGGCAAGGATGTATCACTAATTATGACACAGGTTTTAAGTTTTTAGTTAAAGCAAAAATTACTAAAATGATGAAGAGAATTCTCCCTTTCCAACAGTTGAAAAAAAAACAATAGTCTACTAAAGTGACTCAAAAGATTCACAATGGAAAAAATTTGATTAAGACAGGTGACAAAGACAAATGTACAAAATAACTTTTAGATACTGGCAATATATAAGAAACATAAATGGATGAGCAATATGTTCACAGCTAGTTACCTAATTATAAATTCAAGAAAGGTATAAATGTTAATGAGGTAAATTATAAAAACTAGAGAATACAGAAAATTACCTAAATAAGTTTTATGTACTGAGTTAAAATTTAAAAAAGAAAAAACCCTTAGAGCTCTACCAATAAAGTCTTTCCAGATTGTTAGGCAAATTTAATGTGATTCCATGTAGTATACTTGTAGGCTACCTGGTTTGAGGTTTCTTCGGGTAGAGGTAGGATATCACAGAAAATGTATGAAAATAATTTTTAAACACTTTTAAAATCAATTCTTACTTTTGTATGTAAGTACAGTTATATACAGTAAGACATAGGAAACTTAAGTTACACCTTGATGAAATTTTACAAATACATACACCTGTGTAATCATAAGCAATATGAAAATATAAAATATTTCCAGAACTGAAGCAGCTCCCTAAATACTCTCTTCTATTCAGTAACCATCCCCAGCCCAAAGGGTTTAAGAGTGGAAATGTGCTTGAAACTCATATAAGTAGTATCATTTTTTATGTCTAACTTCTTTCAATCAAAGTTCTATCACCTATTATGTGTACCACTACTTCCTTTGTATGCATTTCTAGGTAGCATCTGATTATATTAACATACGACAATTTATCACCCATTTAACTGGTGAAGGACATGACTTTTGTTTCCATTTTAAGGCTATCAGGAACAAAATTGCTATAAATATGACTGTACACTTATTTTGATGGACATAAACACTTGTTTCTGTTGTATATATATCCAACAGCAAACCTATTAACACATAGAACACATATAATGTAAATGGTAAGTAGACAATACCAATTTTCTAAAACAGGTATATTAAATTATATGTTCATCAACCATGTACAAGATCTACCAATGTATGAGATTCTAAAACAGGTATATTAAATTATACATTCATCAACAATGTAAGAGATCTACCAATGTATGAGATTGGGCATTCCACATCCTCACCAATACTTATATTATCAGTCCTATTAATTTAACCATTGTGGTTGAGCATATATCTTCTTTAACAACCTCTTTCACTCAATCTACCAATGTATGAGATTGGGCATTCCACATCCTCACCAATACTTATATTATCAGTCCTATTAATTTAACCATTGTGGTTGAGCATATATCTTCTTTAACAACCTCTTTCACTCAAGAGCAACCACATTCCCTTCTTGGATGTGAAAAGAGAGGACTTTTTAAAACTGTTCATGACTATAACACTATGTATCTCTATTTCATCACATTAGTGCCTGGGAGGTTTTACCTTAAAAAAAAAAACAAAAACAAAAAAACCACAGAAAATTAGATAGAATATACAGTTGTAGAAGAGGGTTAAAAAAAAAAAAAACAACCAAAAAGAAAGAATATCATGGTATCTGTTCAAGGTTAAGCTCAGCCGAATAATGTGTCAAGGACATGGTTGACTAAGAATGGTGGTGAAGACAAAGAATGGATAAATCAGGTCAAGTTATTTTTAAATTCATGGCCCATGCAGAAATGCTTTCTGACCAAGGTAAGGAAGTATGGCACAAGGCTAAAGAAGAACCATTTCTCCACTTCTGTAGGGGGCCCAGCATTGTGAAAACACTCTGAAGATGGTGAACAAATTTTCTTCAATTCCCAAAATGACAGTATCAATTTATAATCTCACCAGTTAGATGTGAGGAGCCCAGAAACATTCTGAATAAAACTAGTGAACAGAGAATTGCATAAATATCAAAATTTAACACAAAGATACTGAAAACAATATAGGCTGAAAATAATATAGGACTAGAATAGCAGTAAGAAAATAGAGTACAGAAATAAATCCAGGTATATATAGAACTTAAGCTGTGACTAAATTTCAATTTTTTGAGGGAAAAGGTGGTTAATTTAATAAATGATTTTGGTATAACTGGTTATTCATCTGAAAGGAAACCAATTATACCTTTTAAAAGAGTGGGATGTAGGCAAAAGAATCTAAAGAACTAAACTCAAGAGAGATAAAGGCTTCTTCGATTGGCAGACACTGGTGATTATTAGAGACATTGCCAAGCATGGGCATAGGTAAATGGATTATACAGTATTTCATAATATATAAGGCCTTAGGCTGTGAGACAGGATAAAACAGAAAACTTCTATAAGGCACATCAAAATTAAATTGCTGGGATCTTTAATAGAGAAAAAAATTTTTAAGTAGCCATAGGGTCCATACAGGGGACCAAAGCATATGAATATGTACACATCTCATTAAAAAAAATGAAATCCGGGGGCGCCTGGGTGGCTTAGTTGGTTAAGCGTCCAACTTTCGCTTAGGTCATGATCTCGCGGTTTGTGGGTTCGAGCCCCACGACGGGCTCTGTGCTGACTGCCAGCTCAGAGCCTGGAGCCTGTTTCAGTCTGTGACTCCCTCTCTCTCTGACCCTCCCCTGCTCACGCTGTCTCTCTCTCTCTCTCCTAGAAATAAAAACAACATTAAAAAAAAAATGAAATCCAAGGTATTATGGAAAGACATATTTAAAGTACTGAAAGATAAAAAACTGCCCATCAGTTGGCAAAAAAACCCCTAGCTTCCCTATAATCCCACAAAGATCAACAAGTGGACAGCCCCAGGGGACCACTAGAGTCCACATAGGACGTTTTAACAAGAAAAGTGAGAATAATCACAAGAAGAGAAGGAAGGAAACTTCATCTTGCCTGCAAAATCTCATTCCCCAAACTAAGACAGTTTACAATGCTCACAAGAAACTTCCCAGCTAAAAATGGTTCCTCTTGTGGGGCACCTTGGTGGCTCAGTTGGTTAAGTGTCCGACTTTGGCTCAGGTCATGGTCTCATGGCTCATGAGTTCAAGCCCCATGTCAGACTCTGTGCTGACACCTCAGAGCCTGGAGCCTGTTTCAGATTCTTGTCTCACTCTCTCATAGATATACTGAGCCAGCTAGGAACAAGGAATAAAAGCAGAAGCTATTAATAGCAGACAAGCACCAGGAGCCACCATGGTTCACAGAGACCTGCTCTGCAGACAAACTCGGTGTATTTCACCACTGACAAAACCAAAGGCTAGCACAGCCACTGTGGACTCCCACAGATACTGCCAGCTCTCCTCTCAGGTATTTTTGTTAGCTGAAACCAGCTGCATAAGTCCTTTTCTCAAACCTTCCCCTGCCACCATCATATCTACACCACAGCCATGCAGGACCTCTATAGCTGCATAAGAGTAAGAAGCCAGTCACCTAAGTCCCTCCCCAGCCCCACGGGAGCCGAGGAGCTGCACACATAGCCAACTTGAGCTTCTACAGTTAGATGAGCATAGACACCAGCCTAGTGCCACCCTCCATCACTGAACACTGTTGCCCATGCTCAGAGTTAGCCCCTCTTGCTGTGCACCACTGTCCTAACACCCATCACTGGCCTGCACTGTAGCATGCATGCTCAAGGCTAGGGGAACATGCAACCACTGGTGAGTACACCAAAAGCCAAGAAACCCTGCAGCTGCTGGTAGGCTCAGATCAGGCCCTGCCTTCTGTCACTGTCCAGTACCACCTTGCTCACTTGTACCTAGCTCCTCCAGGCTGCATACCTACACTCTCACCCAAGCTCCCTTCCATGATTTCCACTGCAAAGGGCATGTCTGGAGGGAGAGTATGAAACCACAGGAGGGGATATTGTCAGCCAGGGCCTCCACAGTTACCAGGGAGCCCATAACTGGTTTTAGCCCTTACTATCTGCACTGATACTCACCACTACAACTGTGTCTGAGACAGGTCTCTTCCTCTGTATAGACACCTGAAGCTGACCACCACAGCTCAGTGTGTGTACACCACTGGCTCCGGGTACTGCCACTGCCTGCTTTGGTCCCTAGTTACCAAACCTGGAAGTGTTGCTTAGAACCAAAACAGCTCTCACGGCCACTGCGGATCTTCCACAGTGCTCACCAAAGACTGCCAAGTCCACACAGAGGAACCTGGTGGCATGAGCATAAAAGACATCATGCCTTTCTGAACCCAGTGCCACCATACGCCACATTTCTTACCCTACAACATTAGACCCAGGGTCATTGCATGATTAAGTGTGCCTTTACAATCAGGTGAAAGGCTCCCCGTATGGAAGTGTTTCGTTAGTCTGGAAGAGGTAACTGCTTCTTCAAATACATAGATATGAAAACACGTCTTCAGGATTATGAAGAATCAGTAAAATGTCTCCATCAAAGGAATATAGTACATCTCTAGAAACTGGCCCCCAAAATATGAACATCCAGTAACTGCAAAACAAAGAATTTAAAACAGTTTCTCGTGCTCACTTCTGCAAACATATGCTAAAATTGGAATGATACAGAAAAGATTTGCATGACCCCTGCGTAAGGATGACATGCAAACTCATAACATGTTCCATATTTTTTAAAAAATTCTGTAGCTACTGTGAGAGCTACAAGAGAACACAGATAAGCAATTAATAATATCAGGAAAAAATATAATAACAAAATGAGAAGTTCAAAAAAGAATACATAAGAAAGAACATAGAACATAGAAGAAATTCTAGAGCTGAAGAATACAATCACTAATAATGAAGTACTCAACAGATATTTTCAACAGTGAGGTTGAATAAGCTGAAGGGAGAATCAGTAAGCTGAACACAGATCAAGTAGAATTATCTAAATGCCGGAGCAAAGAGAAGAATGAAAAGGAATGAAGAAAGCTTATCTAATTATGCCATACTGACAAAAGAAATAATATATGCCTCATTGGAGTCCCAAAGGGAAACGAAAGACAGAAAATGAAGAAAGCTGATTTTAAAAAATAATGGATCAAGTTATTATTTAAGTTCTCTTTTCTTTTTGACACATCTGATTGTTCAACAGCATATTGTTTAAGCTCTACATATTTGTGAATTTTTCAGTTTTCTTTATGTAACTGATTTCTAGTTTACACTACTGTAGACATAAAATAAATATTTATTTCTTATTAAGACTTGTTTTCTGGCCTAATATATGACCTATCTTAGAAAACAGTTCTAAAATAGTTCTAAGTGACTTGAAAAAAATGTGTATTCTGTTCTTTTGGATGTAATGTCCAGCAAATATGTTAGAACCATTGGTCTAACCTGTCCTTAAGTCCTTATTGACTTTCCATATAAATGATCTATGAATTGATGTAAGTGGGGTATTAAAGAACCCACTATTATTGTATTAGTGAACATTTCCCCCTTTAGGCCTCTTAATATTTTCTTTAGATCTTTAGATGTTCTATGTTGGGGGCATAAATATTTACAAATGCTGTATCTTATTATTCTTATTGTAGATTCTTATTACAAATGCTTATCTTCTTATCTTCTTTATCATTATGTAACATGATTCAACGTCTCTTATTATAATCTTTGTTATAAAATCCATTTTGGCTGGTATAGGTATAGCTAATCCAGCTTTTAAAACTTTTAGTTTCCATTTGCATGGGATACCTTTTTCCACCCCTTTGATTTGTGCAGTGTGTGTCCTTGTATCTAGGATTAAGTCTCTTACAGCAACATGTAGATGGGTCTTTTATTTTTTTTAAATCCATTGAGCTACTGAGTGTCTTTTGATTTGAAATTTAGTCTATTTACATTTAAAGTAATTACTGATATGTATGGACTAACTGCCATTTTGTTAATTGTTTTCCAGCTATCTTTGTAGTTCTTCTCTATTCCTTTCTTCTTCCCTTGAGACACAGGAAAATGGAAATGTAACACCAAAATGCATGGGGTGCAACAAAAGCAGTTCTAAGAGGGAAGTTCACAGTGATAAATACTTACATCAAGAAAGAAGAAAAACCTCAAATAAGCAACCTAACTATACCTAATGGAGCTAGAAAAGAAAAAAAGGAAGAATAAAGCCCAAAGTTAGAAGAAAGGAAATAACAAAGATAAGAGTTGAAATAAAGACTAAAAATAGAAAAGATCAATGAAACTAAGAGCTGCTTCCTGAAAAGACAAACAAAATTGACAAACCTTTAGTTACTTGTCTAGAAGAAAAGAAAGAGGACTCAAAATCAGAAATAAACGGAGATGTTATAACTGATACTATAAAAATAGAAAGGAAAAGATGTTACTACGAACAATTAATCATATGCTAACAAACTGAACAACCTGAAAGAAACAGATAAATTCTTAGGAAAGAAACCTCTCAAGACACAACCATGATCTGACAGATAATCTGAACAGAACACTTACTAGTAACGGAGACTGAATAAGTAATCCAAAGTCTCCTAACAAACAGGTCCAGGACCAGTCAGCTTCACTGGTGAATTCTGCCAAAATTTCCAAGAGGAATTAATATAAAACCTTTCTAAGAGAAGAGGAGGGAAGTCTTCCAAACTTACTTTATAAGGCAAACGTTACCCTGATACCAAAACATGACAAGAATGCCAAAAGAAAATAAAATTACAGGCCAATATCACTCATAAACACAGATGCAAACTGATTAAGACAATATGAACAAAGTGAATTTAATAATATATCAAAAGTATCATACATAATGATTAAGTGGAGTTTATTCCAGGGATGCAAAGATGGCTGAACATTCACAAACTGTTGATGAGGTATACCACATTAACAAAATGAAGAATAGAAATCCTATTATTTTCTCAATAAATGTAGAAAAAGCATTTGAAAAAATTCAATATCCATTTATAATAAAAACTATCAACAAAGTAGGACAAAGAAAATGTACCTCAACATTTAATAAAAGCCATATGTGACAAGCCCATAGCTAATATTATACTAAATGGGAGAAAAATGGAAGCTTTTCCTCTAAGATCATGAAGAATACAAGGATGCTCACTATCACCACTTTTATTCAATATAGTATGGGAGGTCCTAGCCAGTGCAATTAGGCAAGAAGAAGTAGTAAAAGGCATATAAATCAGTAAGGTAGAAGTAAAACTTCCACTATTTGCGATAATATATACAAAGAAAACCTTAAAGACTGCATAAGAAAACTATTAGAACTAATAAACTCAGTAAGGGTGTAGTATACAAAATCAATATGCAAAAATCTGTTGCAGTTTTATATACTAATAATGAACTATCAAATAAAGAAATTAAGAAAACAATCCCATTTATAATTACATCAAAAATAATAAAATACCTAGAAATGTATAAAAAATAATGGCAAAAAACATAGGAGAGATTTGGACATCCAAGTTCATGAAGGTAAAAATTCATCTCAAAATTTCAACTGAAAAGTGTTCTCCAAGTCACATAAGAATAAAAGTGTCTAAACCTATAGACAGAAGTTTAAAATACTAAGAGAAAAAAAAATAATAATTGTCTCATAAAAAGAAACCCCAATAAGGCTTATCAGCTGATTTCTCAGTAGATCCTTTGCAGGCAGGAGAAACTATAATGATACATTGAAAGTGTCAGAAGAAACTGCCAATCAAGAATACTTTACCTAACAGAAATGTCCTTCAAACCTGAAGGTGAAGGGGCACCTGGGTGGCTCAGTCAGTTAAGCGTCTGACTTCAGCTCCAGTCATGATCTCACTGTTTGTGGGTTTGAGCCCCGCCATCCGGCTCTGTGCTGACAGCCAGCTCAGCCTGTTTCAGATTCTGCGTCTCCCTCTCTCTCTGACCCTCCCCTGCTCACGTTATCTCTCTCACTGTCTGTCTGTCTGTCTCTCTCTCTCTCAGAAATAAATAAAACATTAAAAAAAAAACAAACTGAAGGTGGAATAAAGACGTTTCCTAAATAAAAGTTGAGAGAATTCGGGGCGCCTGGGTGGCTTAGTCGGTTAAGCGTCCGACTTTCGCTTGGGTCATGATCTCGCGGTTCATGGGTTCGAGCCCCGCATCGGGCTCTGTGCTGACTGCCAGCTCAGAGCCTGGAGCCTGTTTCAGAGTCTGTCACTCCCTCTCTCTCTGACCCTCCCCTGCTCACGCTGTCTCTCTCTCTCTCTCTCTCTCCTAGAAATAAATAAAAAATTAAAAAAAAAAAAAAAAGTTGAGAGAATTCATCACCACTAAACCTACATTACAAGAAATGCTGAAGAGAGATCTCTGAGCTGAAACAAAAGGACACTAACATGAAAACGCATGACAATACACAGCACACTATAAAGGTAAAGAGATAGTTAGATTCAAAACCCTTAATATTATAATAGGGTAGAATGTTGACTACTTTAGTATAAAGGTTAAAGGACAAAAATATTAAAAATAGCTACAGTTTTAAATGTAATAAATACACAATATAAAAAATGCAAATGTGACATCAAAAACAAACATAAAATGGAGGGATCTTGTAGTGATATCTGCACTCTCATATTCACCACATCATTTTTCACAGTGGCCAAAATATGGAAACAACCTACATGTACATCAATAGATGAATGAATAAGGAAAATGTGATATCTAAACAACAACTACCACCACCACCACCAAAAACAAACAAAAACAAAAAAGGAAAATGTAGTATCTATATACTGGAATACTTTTCAGTCAAGACAAAGACGGAAATGCTGTCACTTGTGACAACCCAGATGAACCTTCAAGTCATAATACTAAGTGAAATATATTACACAGAGAAAAAAATATGCTGTCTGATATTACTTATTCCACAGGAATCTAAAAAAAGCCCAACTCAGAAAAACAGACATAGAGTGGTAGTTACGAAGGACTGGGAGATAGAGAAAATGGGAAGGAACTGATCAAAGGGTACAAACTTCCAATTAGAAGATTAACAAGTTTTGGGAGTAACATACAGAATAGTGACTATAGCTAATAACACTATATTCTATAATCTTAAATGTTGTCACCACAGAAACTAAATGGAAATAATACAAGGGGATGAGGGTATTAGCTAATACTATAATAGTAATCTTTTGTAATATACAAATATACCAAATCAAAGTTACATACTTTAAACTTACACAATGTTGTGTGTCAATTATATCTCAATGAAGTGAGGGAAAAAAAGAAAAAAATGCAGAAGTTTTTAGCCAGCAAAAAATATCTTTCAAATAAAAGCAAAATAAGAACTTTCAGACTAAGAAAATTAAAAACCAAGCAAATAGACTGAACCTTCCTCTTGAAAGACAGATACCATCCAGACTGTACAAAAAGACATAATCACATGATATCTATAAGAGACACACTTTAAATACAGAAGCAGAGTGGTTATACAGAAAGAATGAAAAAATATATATCCTGCAAACTTTAAATATAAAAAAGCTGTTAAAATCATTTTATATCAGACAAAATAGAAATCAAGACAAGGAGTAATGTAAATATAAAAAGATAGGTTTTATAATAATAAAGTGGTAAATTCATCATGGTAATATAAAAATTCTGGATTTTTATATACCAAATATTCTCAAAATACATAAAGCAAAAATTGAACTTAAAAGAAATACGCAAATTAATAATAT